TGATGGCAAGTACCACAAACAAAACGAAGCTTCATATTTGGTGGCACTTAGAATTGGCAGAGCTTTGAAACTTCACACCACTGCTGAGGATTTACTCTTGCCAGTGGCCAAAGACATTGCTCGAGTTATGATCGAAGATGAATATGTTATAAAATTGAGTGCAATTTTCTTATCTAATGACACTGTCCACAGAAGAATAGATAACGTGCTGATATTCTTGACCAGGTAAGCAAGGAAATTAAATCTGCTCCACTTCCAATATTTAGCATCCAGCTTGATGAATCTACAGGCGTTGCAAACTGTTCACAGTTACTAGTTTATATGAGGTATATCAATGATGGCAACTTTAAAGATGAGTTTCTTTTTTGCAAACCTCTTGAAATGACAACTACTGCACATGATATATTTGATACAGTTGGTTCATTTCTGAATAAGCATAAGATCTCTTGGGAAAAGGTTTGTGGTGTTTGCACAGATAGTGCTTCAGCTATGCTGATGTTGATCTGGATTTCAACATTTGGTACTGAATGAGTCACCAAAAGTTGTTGGGACTCACTGTATGATTCATCAGCAAATATTAGCAATGAAGACACTGCCACAAGAGTTACAAGAAGTAATGAAAAGTGTAATAAGTTCTGTCAATTTTGTAAAGGCGAGCACTTTAAACAGTCGACTGTTTTTGCAACTGTGCAATGAGTTGGATGCGCTGAACATGCTCTGCTACTTCACACTGAAGTGAAATGGATGTCAACAGGAAAAGTTTTAAAATGTGTTTTTGAGCTTCATGATGAACTCAAAATGTTTTTTAATCAGAAAGCAAGACCGCAGTTCGAAGCACTTTTCAGCAATAAAAGTGAACTGCAGAAAATAGCTTATTTGGTTGACATCTTTGCCATTTTGAATGAGTTAAGTTTATCACTGCAAGGACCAAATGCAACATGCCTTGATTTGCCTGAAAAGATCTGATCATTCCAAATGAAACTTCAGCTTTAGCAAAAAAAAAAAAAAATGTTGGATGAAAATAAAATTTACATGTTGCCTATCTTATCTGCTTTCTTTGGGGAATGTGACATTGAACCAGACAAAAGGATTACAATAATTTCTGTGAAAGAACACTTGCACATGCTTGCAGATAAAATTTCATTGTACTTTCCAAATCTACCTGACATTCCGTTTGCACTTGCCAGAAGCCCATTCACTGTCAAAGTTGAAGATGTTCCTGAGACAGCACAAGAGGAGTTCATTGAACTTATTAACAGTGATGCAGTGAGAACTGATTACTCAACAATGCCAGTTACAAAATTCTGGATCAAGTGTTTGCAGTCATAGCTTGTTCTGTCTGAGACTGTGTTGTGCCTTCTTCCATTTCCAACAACATAGTTTTATGAAACAGGGTTTTCCAGCTTGTTGGTTATCAAGTCTAAACACAGAAGTAGACTCATTGTGGAAGATGATCTTCATTGTGCTCTTGCAAAAACTGTCCTGAGAATTTTTGATCTGGTGAGAAAGAAGCAATCTCAACCTTGGCAGTGATGTTGGTTTTTACGCATACTGTTGCAAAATGTAGAAATGTAGTTTACTGTTGTTATATTAAGACTGTTACCTATGCTACACCATGCTTCAAGACAAAATTTTATTTACTTGTAATTAGAAATAGTTCACAATATACAATTACATATTGTTTTTGTGATTAATCACTATGCTTTAATTCTGTTCAATTTGTAACAATGAAAATACATCCTGCACATCAGATATTTACATTATGATTCATAACAGTATCAAAATTACAGAAATAAAGTAGCAACAAAAATAATTTTCTGGTTGGGGGTCACCACAACATGAGGAACTGTATTAAAGGGTCGCAGCATTAGAAATGTTGAGAACGACTTGTATAGGGGAATAATTACAGAAATGTCCCCGGTAATGATTTATTTGACCTAAAGAGGGCACTGCTCGCCTTATTTGAAAAGAGTTGCAAAAGACTCTCATATTCAAGAAACTGCTAATTCATACACACACACACAAAACTGTAACAAACCCTCCTTTATCTGAAGAGTCTAGGTCAGACTTTCAGACTCCAGGAACAAATCCTTCATGGGTTTGGAAAGACCAATGCATGAAGAAGCTTCTAGAAGCCACTTTTCTGATCTGATAGCCAGATGTGAGCTGGTAGAATTTATGTCAGCAGCAACCCAGAGGACTGAGAGGATTCTGATAATTACTCTCTATCTTTCATAGAACAGACTCAACAAACAAATAAAATTTTTAATTCACCTTTTAACATTATCTTTTTTAAAAAGGAGCCATCAAATGAAGAAAGAGGGAAATCCTTTCTAACTGGTCATCTAAGAAAGAATGTTATTATGTCGTATACTATTTGAACAGTGTTTCAGATCCATAGGTACAGTATGAAAACGTTGTAGTAAGAATCTGGTGTCTGTTCCCATTCTGGTTAAATAGGATTTGGAGTATAAGGGACAGTTAGCAGCCTCCTTCCTTTTAGTCCCAGGTCCTCCCCTCCCTCACATTAAGCCTGTCCAGTCAAGAGACTCAGCCACCACCTCTGTGTCAAAGGAAACCCATGTTCCAAAGAGCACCCAAATGTGCTGGGTCCTACTCTATGCATGGGGACACCCACTCAGGAGTTAGTAAACAATGTCCGTCACCTCTGACAAAAGTAAATTGTACATTAATATAGTGAATATAAATGAAAGCTTTTTAAAAAAGCTTTTAAAAGTTATTTGTTCACTGTATCTTCAGAAAAAGAATTGAGAGTCATAAGAACACTAAAAATGAGATGTCTGGGGTAATTAGGACTGGACCCCCTCAGTGTCCTTTAGTCAAGATCCATCCGATAAGAAGGAATTTCTTGACATTTAAAACAGTTTCTCCAATTCATGCCTTTAATTGTTGATGTGCCTTAGTTTTTGCCTCTGTAAAAGTTCTCCCTTGAGAATACAGGTATAGGCAGGTGATGCTCACATATTTTTCTTCCAGGTTTCACTTTTTATAGCCTAACCTGCTAACTTCTATAGGAAATCCTATGACAGTAGCTGCCAGATATTGTTGATGTTTCCAGTGAGCACACTAGAAATACCCAGACTTCCCAGATGCTGTACTGCTTTTTCCCCTACCTTCTCTTCTTTCTGTCTTCACCCTTGTTTTCTCCTACTGTCCTCTCATCTGACTTTGCTCACCACCTTCTACAGACTTTCTAAGTGACATAACCCAAGAAACCACTTTCACTTAAACAAAGCCCCTAAAACACAAAAACAACTATCATCTGTACATAATTAAAAAAAAAAAAAAAAAAAAAGGAAAAGTTGGTATACTTGAAAGTGATTTCATATATAGCATCCTATTAGACTCTGAGAGTTCAGCAACCTGTTTAACCATCTGTGGAAACTAGGGACTAATTAGATGATGGATATAAGATACTCAAGTTGCTTGGCTGGGCCCAGAGGATCAGGAAATGATCTAAGGTAGCAGAATGGACCCTCTGGCTTGGGCTCCCAATTGCAATACTGGCACAGTGACTACAGGCAAGAGGGAGGAAACACTGACTCCTGAGAGCCTCATTTGTGAACTTATAGCTTCAGCTGGACTGAGATGGAAAGAAAAGACAGACCAGTCATCTGGAGTTTTCTACAGGACTGAAGAAGACGGGGAAATTAGAAAGTAATAACATTTTTACCAATATCATGTGACTCTCACGAATAAATGGTAGACATGGCAAAAGCTGAATCATTGTGCAAATTAGAGACAGAACTGTGCCATCCACAGCAACTCCCCAAGTTGCACTGTGAGAAGTCCTCTAGAGTTCCATGGTCCATGGCAAAATGCCAATTGTTTGCCATGCTCTCCAAGTGGAAATAATAAACAGGTTGGAAAACTTAAGGCCACCACGCCCTATATGACCAACCAGATTTTAATTTAGTCTTTTTTTCTTCTCTTATGCTGGGGGAGAGGAGAGTTTACATAAAGGTGGACCATAGAGATGGCCTTATCTAAGAGTGGATGACACAAACTCAGTAGGAAGAGAAAAATAACAAATGGGATTAGTGGGTCCTTGCAGTGTGAGTTTTCATTTTTGTGCAATTGTCTTTTGTTAAAATGAAGACTAAGTTCCTGACCTTTCTTCTCTCACAGGAAAATGTATGGATGAGGAAAATGAGATACCAATGGATCTCTGTCACATGGGCAACGCAAAACGTCCCCAGATAAATTGTATATTAATTGTTCTGATTCTTCATTCAAAAGCCATGAAGAGCTGTGCACCAAAGCTCCTAAGGAACATTTGCCACTGGTCTTGTACAGTCGTAGAGCTCCCTGACTCAGCCAAAGCCAAGTGTTCTTAAAAAATAAAAATAAAAAAATCTTCAACTAAATAACAGTGCAATTAGATATCAAAGTTCTGGTTTCTATTTTCTCCAGATTGAGTGTTGTTGTTTTCTTTACCACTTTATTGAAGTTTTGAGAAAGAGTTAAAATGAAAAATTGGCCAAAGAATAATAGTATAATCAAAACCTGTTTTATGGCAACAGAGACCATTATGATATTGACTTTAATATAAAATGGAAGGATGGAGGGAGGGAGAAAGGAAGAGAGAAAGGGAGAGGGAGAGAGAGAGAAAAAAAGAAAACAAACAAAGAAAAGAAACCTTACGCAGAAAACCAAAGTGTTCCATCAGTTTCACCTATCTCTTTCCCACCTATCCCATTCTCCTCTCCAAAATTACATTGTTACAGAAACAGTTTTTAGGCTCCTTCTCTGGATTTTAATAAATTAAAGTTCTAACATCTTTTTCCTTTGGTGTTTCCCCCAAACTTTTATTCTCTGAATCTAAAAACAAAAAGCATTGATAAACTTTTCTTAAGCAAGGCATAATCAACAGCTCAGCTGACATACCATTTCCTGTTCTGACCCAGTGATGTCACTGAGTACAGCTGACACCCAAGTTTCAGATCAGAACAAGATACTTTTCCCCTGCCGAAGAGAGCTGCCAGCATGGCATGCCCCGGTGTGCTGTGGGCATTCGTGGTCTCCACCTGTCTTGGTAAGGAAGGAACATGTATTTGCTTTTCTAAGTATGCAGTACAAATGGAAAGTAGGAAAAAAGATTAGTAACACAGGGATCTTAACTCCTCATTGGTACCAGCTATGGGAAGCAAAAAAGCTGATGGATTTCACCTGAAGTTTGGATTAGGAGGAGGAAAGGTGGGTGGGGATGGGAACCAGCTGTGAGTGTGCCTGCTTCATCTCTCTGGTGTCATACCCCAGTGCAGTCCTTTCTGTCTTCTTTCCCACAGGATCCAGCATGACCCAGACGGTCACTCAGCCTCAACCTGAAGTGTCCGTGCAAGAGGCAGAGACTGTGACTCTGGCCTGCACATATGACACTAGTGACAGTCAATATTCTTTGTTCTGGTACAAACAGCCCACAAGTGGGGAGATGATTTCCATTATCCGCCAAGGAGCTTATACGCAAGGAAATGCAATGGATAGTCGCTTCTCTGTGAAATTCCAAAGAGAAACCAAAAGCATCAACCTCAGGATCTCTGACTCCCAGCTGGAGGATGCTGCGATGTATTTCTGTGCTCTCCGTGAGGCACAGTGAGAGAAGAGACAGGGAGAGGCTTACAGAAACCTCAGATCTCAGCGCCTGTGTCAGGGGGGGCAGGAAGTAGTTGGGGTAACAGGAACATAGAAAAGCATTGTCTTCTCTCAAGAATGAAAACTCCTATGTCTGAGTATAAGAAACACAGAGAGATGGATGTCTGCAAGCTAGAATCTTTCAAGTAGCTATAAGAATAATGGTATGTGTAGTGCCTTCCAGTTTTACAGTGTCCTCACACATACCATTACATGTCACACTAATACTTTGTGTGATATATGTGACAGATCAGACTTCTTTAGCATTTTCTTTATCCAGAAAATCTTTATAATTTTCCTGGGTGTTCATACCTTTAAGAATATCAAGCTTTTTCACCTTTTTAATCGAAGCTTTTTTAGAAATACATTTTTTTCAGTATTCTTTTCTTTTTCCATCCGACTCCAAAACTGAATCTCCTCAGAGAAAAGTACCCAATTGAGAATACACCAGATGTGACAGTGGAGACATAACAAGGAAGGGATTCACTGGTTCAACCATGACCCTAAAAGATGACCTATTTTCATGGTACCTGGATCAGAGATCTAGGAGAAACAATGGAATGGCCTATGAAAGGCTCAGCTTAGAAGCCACTCAGGGGCAACACTTTTAGTGATCGGAATGCTTTTCTTTGGAAGCAGTGTTATTTATTAAACCAATGGTTGATATATAGATACCTTAGCATTCTAAAATACACAAGTGTGGAAACTAATAAATAGATGTGGAATAGACCCTTCTCACATCATTCCCATACCCCATTTCAGAATTTGTCATTCTCTTTGCCACAAACTTAGGCTCTTTTGGATTAGAGGTCTAGCTTTCTCCAGAAGATTCAGCAAGGGTTCCACCAAAACTACACCTGGTCACTTTGAACTCCTTATGCCGACATTCCAGGAGGCAAAGAATTGAGTTATTAGACTTGGAGGGGTAATTAACTCTGACTGTCATGAGCGCCAGGTAGTTGTTACAGCATGAGGACAAAGAGAAATACATCCGGAATTTCAGTGCTTCGTATTGGGTATATCCATGCCCAGTAAAAATAGCATGTGGCAGTTGTTGTTGCAAAGCCTGAAAAAAAGGAAGTGATCAAGAAATGTGGCCATTCAGCAAAGAAGGTTCTCAGTCACACCACCAGGCAAGCAATCTAGGTCTGTTAAAGTGATATCCTGGAAAATCTGGAAAGTGTGGTTGAAGAGGGAAAGGATGACTATCAATTAATTATAGCCTTGGTACCTATTAAAGAAGGGGGGTAGAAAACTCATATCATGAAACCCTCCTGCATTAAATGTTTTAATAAATTCCAGGCAGTCACAACCTTGAATATTCAGTAACATGCTGACAAGCATACATCTCAATAGGACAAAGAGCAGCTCAGGGCCCTGCAGCCCCCAAGAGACTGGTCAGCAGCAGAGAGCCACTGCCCTACTGGCACCATGGCAGCAAAGAGCCCCTGGCCACACAGACATTTCTGAGAGCCACTGTGGCCCCAGACCCTTGGAACAGATTCCAGATCCAGGTTGTACAACCTGCCCTACATGATGACCTTGGACACACAACCTTCTCCGATGACCCAGCCTGCCACACTTGGACCCTGAACACTGGACCAATAAAATGATGAGAAAAGGGAACACCCCTCAAATGAAAAGGAAGAATTGCCAGAAAATAATTAAATGAAATGAAGACAAGCAATTTATCAGATAAAGTATTTAAAGTAATGGCTATAATGGTACTCAAACAACTTAGTGAGAATTACGAGCAACTCAGTAAGAATTATGAAGAACACGGTGAAAACTACATAGGCATGAAAAAAGAGGTAGAAGCTATGAACAAATTTCAAATGGACATAAAGAATGACATAGCTGAAATAAAAAATACTTTAAAAGAATTCTTTTTTTTCTTAAGTAATTTATTTATTTTTGTTACAGATGTTCCTCCTTTTCCGCCACTGATTCCCCCCTCCCTCTCCCTCCCTGCCCTGTCCCCAGCTTTGTTGTCCCTGTCCATTGTTCATGCATACATGCATATAAGTTCTGTGGTTTATCTCTCCCCCACACCCCCTCTTCTGGGGATAGTCAGTCTGTACCCCCCTTCCACGTCTCTGGGACTACTCCATTCCTCAGACTGTTATGTTCATTATATTCCACAAATAAGTGAGATCATATGATACTTGTCTTTCTCTGTTTGGCTTGTTTCGCTTAAGATAACACTTTCCAGGTCCCACCATGTCTTCTCAAAGGATAAGAGATTTTTCTTTCTTACAGCTGCATAGTACTCCATTGTGTATATGTACCACAGCTTTTTTATCCATTCATCTACTGATGGACATTTGAGCTGTTTCCAGAATTTAGCTATTGTAAATAGTGCTGCTACAAACATGGGGGTACATATATTATTTCAGACTGGTGTTTCAGGCTTCTTAGGGTATATTTCTAGAAGTGGGATCACTGGGTCAAATGAAAGTTTAATTTTTAATTGTTTGAGATAACACCATAATGTTTTCCATAGTGGCTGCACCAGTCTGCATTCTCACCAGCAGTGTACTAGAGTCCCTGTTTCAATCCTCACCAACACTTATTTGATGATTTGTTGATGGCGGCCATTCTGACAGGCATGAAGTGATACCTCACAGTTGTTTTAATTTGCATCTCTCTGATGATTAGTGTTATTTGTGGCATATAATGAACTAAACAAACTGATAAACAAAATTGGCCCAGAGACGTAGAGGTAGAGTACAGACTGACAAACCTCAGAAGAGGGGGTATTGGGGAGGAAGAGATAAACCACAGAACTTATATGCATGTTTCCATAACCAATGGAATAGACAACAAAGCTGAGGATGGGGTGGGGGGCATGGGGAGGAGGATATCAATGGGGGGGGGGAAACACTTGTAACAAAAACAAATTAATAAAAATAATTTTAAAATAAATAAATCTGAAGAAAAAAAAACTCATAGACACAGACAACAATATGGTGATTACCAGAGGGAAATGGGTAAGGGAAGGTAGAAGGCAAAAGGGAAATAAACGGAGATGGAAGGAGACTTAACTTGGGGTGGTTGACACACAATACAATATACAGATGATGTATTATAGAATTGTAGACCTGAAACCTGTATAATTATATTACACAATGTCATCCCAATAAATTCAACAAAAACTATTTATATTTTCATCTAATTAATTAATTTATTTTTGTTACAGATGTTTCTCCTTTTTCTCTCACTGATACCCCACCCCCTCCCTCCCCACCCTGTCCCCAGCTTTGTTGTCCATGTCCATTGTTCATCCATACATGCATATAAGTTCTGTCGTTTATCTCCCCACCCCCACCCCTTTACTGGGGATTGTCAGTCTGTACCCCACTTCCAAGTCTCTGGGACTACCCCCTTCCTCAGACTGTTATGTTCATTATATTCCACAAATAAGTGAGATCATGTGATATTTGTCTTTCTCTGCTTGGCTTGTTTCACTTAGGATAATACTCTCTAGGTCCATCCATCACCTTACACCTGTCAGAATGGCCACCATCAACAAATCATCAAACAACAATTGTTGGCGAGGGTGTGGAGAAAAGGGGATTCTAGTACACTGCTGGTGGGAATGCAGACTGGTGCAGCCACTATGGAAAACATTATGGTGTACCTCAAACAACTAAAAATTGAACTGCCATTTGACCCAATGATCCCACTTCTAGGAATATACCCTAAGAAGCCTGAAACACCAATCAGAAAGAATATATGTACCCCCATGTTCATAGCAGCACTATTTGCAATAGCTAAGATCTGAAAACAACCCAAATGTCCATCAGTGGACGAATGGATAAAAAAGCTGTGGTACATATACACAATGGAGTACTATGCAGCTGTAAGAAAGAAAGATCTCAACAAAAACTATTTAAAATGAATAAATAATCAAGTTCGCTTTATTGACTAGAAATAGAAATCAGAAACTCATGTAAACAGATAACTTTTTGTACAGATTTCTGGACTAAACCACTTTTTTTCTGTGTAGAGGAATAAATACAGAAATGTCCCTGGTAATTATTGATTTGACCTGAAGTGGGCACTGTTGCTTTGGTTGACAAGAGTTGCAAAAGACTGTCTTGTTCAAGAAACTGCTAATTCATACACTAAAAAAAAAAAAAAAAAAAACTGTAACAAAAACTCCTTTATCTGAAGGGTCTAGGTCAAATTTCCAGACTCCAGAATCAAATCCTTCGTGGGTTTGGGAAGACCGAGACATGGAGGAGCTGCTAGGAGCCACATTTCTGATCTGGCAGTCAGATGTGAGCTGGTAGAATTTATGTCAGCAGCAACCCAGATGACAGAGTGGATTCTGAGAACTAGTCTCTATCTCTTATAGAAGAGACTCAAAGAACAAATAAAAATTTTAATTCACCTTTTAACATTATCCTTTAAAGAAAATTAACCAAAAATGAAGTAAGGGAATAATCCTTCCTAAAGGACCATCTAAGGAGAATTTTATTATCTGGTATATTTATTTGAACAGGGTTTCAGATTCATGGGTACAAGATGAAAAGAATGTAGAATAAATCATGTGCCTTTGTTTCCATTCTAGTTAAATAAGATTTGGAGTAGAAGGGACAGTTAGCAGCTTCCTTCCGTGTTAGTCCCAGGTCCTCCCCTTCCTCACATTAAGCCTCTCCAGTCAAGAGACTCAGCCACCACCTCTGTGTCAAAGGGAATACATGTTCCAAAGAGCACTCAAATGTACTGGACCCCATTCTATGCATGGGGACCCCCACTTAGGAGTTAGTAAACAACATCCATCACCTCTGATAAAATAAAATTATACACAAATATAATCAATATGAATAAAAGCTTTTAAAAGTTTTTTGTTCACTGTATCTTCACAAAAAGAATTGAGAGGCATAAGAACACTAAACAATAGATGCCTGGGGTGATTAGGACTAGACCCCTCAGTGTCCCATAGTCAAGATCCATCCA